CTCAGCCAGCTTTGCTGGCTGAGGAATTCTGGGAGTTGAAGTCCACAAGTCTTAAAGTTGCCAAGGTTGGACACCCCTGGTGTAGAGTCTCCTGCTTGGGCAGCAGGTTGGACTAGTTGACCTACAACAGAGGTCCCCAAACTTGGCGGACTTTAAGGCTTGTGGACTTCAACTCCCAGAATTCTCCAGCCAGCTAAACATCTTAAAGTTGCCAAGTTTGGGGACCCCTGACCCACAAGGTCCCTTCCAACTCTGTTAATCTAAAAGTGGTCTAAAATGGAATGTTGAAACATTTGCATGGAAAAAAACCGTATCGAAATCAAGAATCAAAGACGTTTCACTGCATAAGAAGCAGGAAATTGTTTGGAGAAGGGATTGATTGTTTGGATGACAGGGATGTTTCCCCTTATCCCTTCATCCAGTTACCTCTTTTTTTTCCCCACTCTTTAACCAGGGCAGTTGGCTGCATCTTTGCTGAACTTCTCAATAACTCTCCCCTCTTCCCTGGAGAAAATGACATTGAGCAGCTGTGTTGTGTCCTCCGGGTGCTTGGCACACCTAATGAAAAGACCTGGCCGGTGGGTCCAATAACCATTAGCTTGCCTGCAGGGATTAGGGTCCGGGGAGGAGCGGGGAACCTTTAAAACTGAAGAAACCAACAGCCAAGTGTCCCCCCCACCCCCATTGTTATTCTTTTGCTGGGACAGGAGATTACCGAGTTGCCTGATTACAACAAAATCTCCTTCAAAGAGAAGCAGCCCATCCCTTTGGAGCAGGTGGTGCCTGATGCTTCTCCTCAAGCGGTGCAGCTCCTGAAAAAATTCCTGGTTTATCCTTCCAAGCAACGGATGCAGGCAGCCCAGGTAAGCGGGAGCAGTGAGGCTGCCAGAATAGTGCGGCATCCTGCAAAGAACAAAGCAGGGGTCTTTATGGGATCGCAGGAAGCAACTCATTGTACACAGTGTGCAGGCAGTCCTCAACTTGCAAAAGTTTGCTTAGTGACCATTCGAAGTGACAACAGCGCTGAACAAATGTAACTTTGTGACTGTTTTTCACACTTATGGCCGTTGCAGCATCCTCATGGGTCATGTGAACATGTGATTTGGATGCTTGACAACCGACACGTATTTTTGACGGTTGCAGTGTCCCTTGTGGTCTCCTTTGCAACCTTCTAACAAGCAAAGTCCATGGGGAGTCCAGATCCACTTAACAATCACGTTACAAATGTAATAACTGCAGTGATTCATTTAAGAAATGTGTCAAGAAGAGTCGTAAAATGGGACAAAAGTCACTTAACAAATTTCTGAGCAACATAAATGTTGGGCTCGATTGTGGTCATAAGTTGAGGACTACCTGTATTGACTATCTGTATGAGTCTTTCTTTGAAACTACTACATGTAGATTAAGGAAGGAGTAATTTGATCCCCTTGTGACTGTCCAAACCCAATTAACCCATGCTGCTTTTAAAAAAAAAAAAAACTCACATTTTTCACAGTTCAGCGAAAGCAGTGGACACAGAAGTTTTATGGATGCCGAATTTTAATAGACTGAAATGGTGACCCTGCTTTAGTAAAATTCCCTTTGGAGGTTAATGTCAGCTGCAAAACTACAGAGGAAAGCAAGAATACAGTCCAGGGGTGAGACTGGATTGTTCCCCTGCCGTGGAGATCCTTTAGACTGACCCACTCGTGGGCATCTTCCACTCCCTACCCCAGGCTTAGCTTGTAACAAGGAAGCTGAGAAAATAAGCAGTGGTTTTACAAGCACTTTTGTATAGCATTTGAACCTGATCTAGGTTATCTCTTGGAGTTTCCTAAGAGCACCCAGGATTGTGTCCTTATTTTGGATACTTGTTGAGATACTTGTTTAGAAAGTACTATAACAATGATGGAACTAACGGAAGCATTTAATAGGCAGAATAATGGAAAAGCACCAGGCCCAGACGGGCTCCCGGCAGAATTTTATAAAACATTACAAGAATCGTTGAGCACTCCACTGTTAGAAGTTATGAATGAAGCCACGTTAAATAAGAAAATACCCAAAACATGGTCAGAAGCTTATATCACACTTATTCCCAAAGAAGGGGCCGATCCATCACAAATTAAGAACTATAGACCTATTTCTTTACTGAATGCAGATTATAAAATTTTTGCTTCCATCTTGGCAGAAAGGCTCAAAAGATACCTAAATAACTTTATTCATTCTGACCAGAATGGATTCCTGCCAGAGAATCAACCCTGGAACAGTTTACTTCTAAAATTTCTTGAGAATTTTTGCTCATTGAGAAGAAAGCAAGTTCATTCTGTTATCACCAAAAGAGGGCACTCCAACCCACTTTGCTCTTTTGCAGTGGATATTTGTCTGTGACCTTTTGCACAGCTATGAATCTCCATTTCCCTAAAGATGCTTCTCTAGCTAATGAGCAACGTGTGGCGCTAATTCAAAGGCAACATGCAACTATTCCACCTTAAGAGAGATGGGTTTTTTTTTTTTAAGAAAAAGAAACAATACTAAGCAGTAGCGGGAAAACACAAGAAGATTTAAAGAGGGAAATTATATCCCCTACCTCATGTGAAATTCTGTGAACAAGGTGGAGGGATTGCATGGTAGAAGCTTGTTCAGACTTTGTTCATCCAGCATGAGTATGCCGTTAGCAGCCTTCTCTAGCTGATACACGTAGTCCTTGATTTATAACCAGTTGCCTAGCAACTGTTCAAAGTTTCAGTGGACCTACCCAGAGGGTACTTATGACCCAGATTGGAAGATCCAACTCTTGGACTCCCTCCCGATCACGTGAACATACTTTGGTTACTTAGCAGTTGGGTTGCATTTATGGCCATTTGCAGTGTCCCACAATTTTACAAGGGTTTTGCTGAAAATTGGCGTTTACTTCTGTCCCAGAGCAAACCACGGACTTAACAATTGCCATGTTCATTTCATGACTGATGCAAAAAAAAGGTCGTAAAACCATACCATATAACCATGCAATTGTAATGGGCAGGCTTCATTACAATTATAACTCGAGGACTACCAGGACTTCCTATAATGCTTAACCAGTAGGAGATCTGTGAACTGTAATACAGTTCCCTCCCCAACCCGCCCCTCACCCATTGGGGGAAGCTTTCTGAGAGCTTCCAGGATTATCCATGTAATGAGAGACACTATCGGATTTGGTCAGAGCCAGTCAGATGATTTCTTTCCTTTTGTTCCTTAGGCACTTCTGCATCCTTATTTCTTCACGCCTCCTCTGCCGGCCCACCACTCAGAATTACCAATTCCCCAGCGTGGGGGCAAAAAAATTCGTCAGGGGCTCCAACACCAGCGTGATTTCCATGTGGAGCAGCCCCTGGAAGGGTCAGTTGTAGATCTGGAGCTGGTGGCACCGTATGTGATTGATGTATAAAAAGGGAGTCTTCTCTTGATCGGGCTTTTAAACCATCTCATGAAGCAAGTTGGTTCTTCATCCGAGGCACTTTAAATTCTTGTGGGAAGAAGCTGTGCATTTATTGGGACTATGTGTGGGTAACCACAAGGCTGTAACCCAGTGATATCACACAAATGGCTGAAACGAATCCAGGACTTTCAAAAGCACGAAGGTTTTTTGACTTGTTCCATCATACATGAGCCTATTAGACTGCTCACGTCAGTAGTTTCTGGTAGATATTTCGTTGCCCAAATTCTGGGCCTGCAAAAAGAGAATAGGGAGGAGCTGTATGTACAGCCGGCATTTGTCCCGTTTTATTTTCATTTGTTGAGTGATTTGGCCGCAGCAGAAGACAAAAGACAGATCCGAGAGCATGCTAAGCTGCCACTCTGGCAGAAGGACCAAAAGAAACTGTTCTCTCCAAAGACTCACAAAACCCTCCAATGAGGAATCTGACAAAACTCTCCTGATAGTCCTCCTTTTTTTTTTCAATGATTTTTTAATTTTATTCACAGAGTTAAACCACGTTAAACCACAAACTCCAACCAAAAGGAAAAAAATATACAAGAACAAAGTAAAACTACACAGGAAATGTAAACAAATGTGCATTTTTAAAAAAGGTTATCCTGATATTCTCCCTGACCACATTTTTTCTTCTTCTTGGGATAACAAAATAAGGCCCAGATGTATTCAGGGAACAAGGTCTCTGTTCCACTGAAGCGGGGTAGGCCCAGAAACTGCCTGTACCAAGTCCCCTCCCCAAGTTTTGAGGCCTTACCTCAGGCTTTCTTTTCTTTTTTCTTTTCTTTTCTTTTCTTTTCTTTTCTTTTCTTTTCTTTTCTTTTCTTTTCTTTTCTTTTCTTTTCTTTTCTCTTCTCTTCTCTTCTCTTCTCTTCTCTTCTTTCTTTCTTTCTTTCTTTCTTTCTTTCTTTCTTTCTTTCTTTCTTTCTTTCTTTCTTCTTTCTCTCTCTCTCTCTCTCTCCCCCCCGCCCCCGTAATTTCCCTTCTTATGCAATGACAGTTATAACAGTTGATAATTAAACAGGTAGGCAATCAACTAAATTCCTGGGCTGTTTATTGGCTTACAGATTTTGTGGCTGAACCCTGAGGAGCATGGTATCCAATGGGAATGGCTTGTTGGGATCTGTTGACCATTTAAGAATACTTCTGAGAGTTGCTGCTGACAATCTGCTACCCCAGATCGTGTGCTTAAGACTGATTTAGCAATCGCCTGCCTAAATTTACCCTGATGCTGATGAAGCAGGGATTTTGTGGGGAATAGGAAAGGGAAGAGAATAAAGAAATAGTTGCAGTTGTAGAAAGGGAAATTAACACGTCCCCAGATTCATAATCATTGATACAAAATCTTGACCTACTGAAAAAAAGAAAAACGATCACTCATTTTTGAGTCTTCTATGACTGCAGAAACAACAGCGAATTTACATGCTGCTCATAGCAATTGCTCTGTTTAAGGAACTTGGCTATGTGTTTGTGTATAAAATTAGCCTCCGTTAAAAAGCAAAACAGGGCCGTTTGAATAGTTTTCACTCTTTTCACTCTCTCAATCGAAGTAAAAGGGGCAGTAACCTATCCCCCCACCCATACATTTTTTTCTCCATATTTCCCCCTATGATTAAAAAAAAAAAGAACTGTTACTTTTAAAGAGAAAAGGCCTTCTGACCTCAAATTAACTAAAATTTTATTCCTTTAATGGCCCAAAGCAACAGTTCTTTACATAACAAACTCTAAATAATGTAAAGTCTCAAAATACAGGTAGTCCTCAACTTACAACAGTTCATTTAGTGACCATTTGAAGTTACAACAGCACAGAAAAAGGTGACTTATGACCGTTCTTCACAGATATGACCGTTGCAGGCTCCCTCTGGTCACATGATTTTACATTTGGATGCTTGGCTACTGACTTCACATTTATGACAGTTGCAGTGTCCCGGGGTCATGTGATTGCCTTTTGCAACCTTCTGATAAGCAAAGTCAATGGGAAAACCAGTTTCACTTAACAACCATGTTACTAATTTAACAACTGCAGTGATTCACTTAACAAATGTGGCAAGAAAAGTCATAACATGGGACAAAACTCACTTAACGAATGTTTCAGTTAGCAACATAAACTTTGAGCTCAATTGGGGTCGTAAGTTGAGGATTGCCTGTATCAGGTTTTCAATAAATATTTCCTGAATCAGCAAAGCCTCCCTTTTATTTTATTTATTTAATTTTTATTCATTTATTTTGCAAGCTCTAGAAAAATTACACATTTGCCAGGCATTGATTTATGCACTCCCCTGATTCCTGTCTCTGTTCAACCTTTTTTGCTTCCCATATTTTTGATACCACACCAGGATTTTAAGATTGTTTTCAAGCATTTTTCTTTTTTTGCTGTTCAGTTATCAGTTCCATTTGCAAAATCTTAGAGTGAGTAATTTTACTGGGGGAGAAAACCTAGCTTTCACCAAACAATATTTCAAAATCATTTCTGGCACAAAATAAACAATGCAAGTTACACAAAGGATGCGGTTTGATGATTTGATCTAAGAAAGCAATCATTTTTGACAGCTTTTAAATTTCCTTTAGTGGAAGTAACAATAATTGCTCAGAGATGTTGATTCTGTACAAATTTATTTGGACTTTGTGTCTGACTATGGAATAGGACGTGAAAATAATAAAAGGAAACAAGAAAAGCAAGGGAAGAAGCATAATTACAATATAATGGTACACATCAGGAGAACCGTAAATACAGGTAGTTCTTGACGTATAATCATTCGTTTAATGATCATTCGATGTTACGCCGACACTGAAAAATGTTCTCATATTAAACAATTGTTACAGCATCTCCAGGATCACATGATCAAAATTAAAGCTCTTGGCAACTGGCATGTATTTATGACAGTTGCACTGTCCTGGGGATTATTGGTCACCATTTGTAACCTTCCCAGCTGGCTTCCTACAAGCAAACTCAATGGGGGAAGCTAAATCTGTTTAATGATCGCATGATTCTCTTAACAACACCAGTGATTCGCTTAAAAACTCTCAAAACAGGTTATAATATGGGCAAAGCTCACTTAACAACTGCCTAGCTTAAAAACAGAAATGGGGGTCAATTGTGATTGTAAGTTAAGAACTACCTCTACTCTTCATAAGAACATTTTTTTTTCTGTGGGCCTCTCAGAATCAGAATCAGGCCCAAAACCAGGAAAGGCATATGATGATTCTTCTAAATGGAGTTCTTTATTGTTTCACACAAAAACAGACATTTATTTTTTCGCCAGACCGAGCACTCTATTATCTGCATCTACAATATATTCTGTGAACTATTAGGGAGGGGCTGTCTTCAGCCTCTTTCTCACACACATAGTATCTGGGCTGAGTTGACTCTTACTCCTCTGGAATGTACCCTCTGCTTCTTGGAAATCTGCCTCCTTACTACACTCCATCACAGTAATGATCGGATTAGGTCTCCCATTGAGTAGGTCTCCATTGTTACAACGTACTCCATATGTGAGAGTTCCATCCATCCATTCTATTTTCTTTTTCAAAAATACATATGGGGAATGTTCCAATCCTCAATTTAGCTATGAATCATTGATTAAATAACATGGGACTGGATGTACCTGGGCTTATTCTGTCTAGACATTTGAGTCTTGGTGCTATGTGCAATATTGTTTCTAGATTATAGCAACTACCCTGACATGTCTCAGCCGTATCTTCACTACCATGAAGTTTTCCCAACCATAAGAAGGAACAGTGTTTTTCCCCTCTTTGAGGAATATTGATGATGTCAATTACATGGAAACTGAACAAGAAAAGATTTAACCTGGAAATACGGAGAAACTTTCTGACAGTGAGAACGATCAACCAATGGAACAGCTTGCCCTCGGAAGTTGTGGGAGCGCCATCACTTGAGACTTTCAAGAAGAGATTGGACTGCCATTTGTCAGAAATGGTGTAGGTCTCCCTCTTGGGCGGGAGGTTGGACTAGATGACCTACAAGGTCCAACTCTGATTATCTGTTATCTACATAGCTGCAACTGTATAGAAAAGAGTTTTACAGCTTAAGCAAGGAACGAGAAAAACCCTCTAAGATTAGGATAGGCAGGGTGGAAATTCTTTCTTTTTCATTGCTGAGAGTGGAGTTTGAATAGCCTAGGATGGATAAGCAGGCAGGGCCAAAGACCTTGAGACTCCGTTGGAACTCCTTGGTCATTATCCTAGCTGGTGCTTCTTTTCACCACACTGCCTGGCTTCTACAGATAACTTTATCTCTACTTGTCTATCCTGCTGCATCATGGATTAGCTGCTTGTTTCCAGCCTATGGGTGGAGCTTGGGGTGCCTAAAGGGCAAAAAGGCAGCATTTTTGTAGAATGTTTCTTGGGTTTACATTTTTACTAGTTTTTCACAAGGGCTTTGCTTCTGCTTCTGGTATTTCTTGTTTCAGAACTGGGAAAATTAATACTTCAACTTTGCCCAGATGGGGTGGGAGAGAGAGAGGTAGTTTACCTCAAAAACCACTCTTCGTTTGTATATCCTGTACATCTGATTTTACTTGAAAGAAAGGAACTTTCCATATTCCAGAATTATCTGAACCAGAGGTCTCCAAACTTGGCAACTTTAAGACTTGTGGACTTCAACTCCCAGAATTCTTCAGCCAACAAAGCTTGTTAGAGAATTCTGGGAATTGAAGTCCACAGTCTTAAAGTTGCCAAGTTTGGGGACCCCTGATCTGAACCATCCTCTGGAAATGAAAAATAGTGTTCTCCTCCGAAGCGACATCTGCTGTGGGGAAATTAAAAACACTAGACTAAGAAGGAAGAGAATGCTATTTTTCCAATCCTGCCACTGCCTGTATAAAAGATAGATGCTGAAACATCTTAGCCTGATAAAGCAAACCAAATACAATCAGAAAACAATATGGCTTCATTTCCAGAGACTGAGTAAAGAGATCATGATACTGTGGGGCACTTCTGACTGGAGCTCTTACTTTAAGGTTTCTTAATTGAAAGGTCAAATGAGACAAGGGATATATTATATATATATATATATATATTTCTGAGGTTCTCGCAGGTATTTGTATGTGGATCTTTGGTTATTCGGGTTTTCTCCCGCGTAAGATTGGAAGTATCTAGGCGACATTTCGATGAAGTCTCATCATCTTCAGGCTTGTTTCTTCGGCTCTGAGAAGCACAGAGCTGAAGACACAAGCCTGAAGATGATGATATATGGTATTCAGCTTTGTTCGGGTTTTTTCCCATGTCATTATAGTTGTGCTTTTAAAGTTGTAGCAACGTTTCGGCAGAATCTCATCTGCCATCATCAGGCTTCTGTATCGACGTCAGACGAACACAGTGGCCACATCAGTTTCAAGCTCCCACTTCAGTTGGATTTTTTAAATATACTTGATCATTTATCAACCTCATGGATTAGCTCCTTTACCCATATCATCAGATTGTGTAGCCTTCTTACACAAGAAAGAAGTGTCTTCTTTCTTATACAAGTGACGTGTATCTTCTTAAACAACCTTTCCAGCCTCTCTTTAAACTGAAGAACCTTCTTGGATGAGATGTGAAATGATTTCAAAGGGGGGAAAAAAAAGTCCAGTTGC